CATCTTACTGTTCTTGGGCAAATTAAGACACAGGAAGGTTGTTCTATGGATCAAGAGTCTACTGTCTTGGTATTATTTAGAGATAGAACAAAAAGGCCACCTCTACTCCAAAAGTCTAAAGAAATAGACTCACATCTTCTGGAACAAAATTCATCCCCCTTCCTCCCATAGTTCCTCAAGATGCACCCTTCTGCCAAAGTTACTAATGCATCTTAACCATGTGACTTATCACCTCAGTGCTGTCAAGTAGCCTTAGTTCTGCCAAATTATTCAGTCTTGTTTTACATTACTCTTTATGACATTCCAGTTTAGGCATTTTTAGCATCTCCATTGCAGCCGAGGTCTTTGTACATTACAGGAATAATAATAACTGCCATGGTATAAAAAAGGGTAATAGTTTATGGAAGAGAAAAGGAAATTAGCCACAAAGAGAGGAAAAAAGAACTAAGAAATATAATGTTTGGATAGAGAAACTGGGAGTGAATAAGAAATGTAAAGCATATGCATGGATCTCTAGATTAAAAATCAGTAGAGAGGAGTCAGATTTAGAAGCACCTGTTAGCTGGTTTTTCTTAGAGATTAACAGTTATTCTTAAAATATTATCATCCTGTCACAGGAAGTGAGAGCACTGCAGAGAGGAGCAGTGGTAAGTGGAAAGGAGAATGACCCAGAAAATGTGATAGGAAAGGGAAAGGGAAATGATCGAAAATAGGTACAAGAGAAAGTCGGAATCATAATTTAGGATTGGATCCATTTCCCTGAAGCATCTAAAAAGATTTAGGATGTGGTAGACAAAGAATGCAAACAACAAATCTGCCCACGGCCATCTCCATTCTGATCCACACTTCTTTGAGAAAATATGAACTATGAAAACTGTGCGCTCTGGGACAAGGTAGGAGCAGACATGAAATGGAATCATAGTAAAAAAAATAAAAAAACCCAATAAAACCAAAAAACCAAAAAAACCCCATGTATTTTAAAATCATTCAGGCAAAAGGACAGAGGTTTAGGGAAATTAGTGATCTCTGAAGAAGAGAGCTTTGACAGAAAAGAATATCACTGGAATAAGCACAGCAACCATTTTAGTCATGTTTCATGAGCAATTCAAAAAGTACAAAGCATAGGGTTTTTCCTCATTGTATTTAGAAATATTATCAGCTAATGTCACTAGTAAAGTAGTAAACAGTATACACAGATGTTATTTTATCACAGTGTAAACCTATGAGGAGAAAGACAGGTCAGCAGAACTTTAAAAGAGAGATATGACTTAGTCTGAGTTTAATTTGCTTTCAAAAACATGGTCAATGACCCTTTAAATCACATGCCAATTACAAACATTGTAGTGCCATTACTAATTACATGCTGAGAGTGTAAATTTAAAATGGCAATTTCAATTTTCAGTTCATTGAGAGAATGCAGGAAAATGAAATTGCATACTAATTAGTTCATGTGTGTCAGACACCTGAAAGATTAGAGAAAAAAACTTGCACTCATTGCAAGTGAGTTACAAGCAAAGCACTCAAACCTTTCATTTGCTCAGCTGCATATAAATAAAGAAATTAAATGACAAAGAAAATTGATAATGATGGAACAAGGCAAAAATAGCTACAGGCATGTAATAATTATACTCTGGGGACTTTGCCCATTATAGAACAGCTTCCTTCAGAATGTATCCAGCATTAGGAGCTGCAATAGAGTAACAGGCTACTGTTTTGGGTTCACTGCACTTAGATGTTAATTCACATTTCATAAAAAAGGAGCTTCTGCTTTCATAACTTTCCACTTAATCTCTGTCAAACATTTAAACTTTTTTCAGAAGTTATCTTCTGGTCCAGTTGCTTCATCAATCAGACCAACATAGAAGAGGTCCCATTATACAGACCCTCGACATTAGAAGTGACCAAAGTCACCTGCCTGTGTGGCCCTCAGATTCCCCTCTGCCTTTGTCAACAGTCCAGATTCCCACAAAAATGCCAACTGCAGGGTAAGCATCTGTATCTGGGGAAAAGGTGGTAATATGATAAAGTAAAACTTAGTAAAACTAAGGAAAACTTAGTAAAACTAAGAGCAAGCTGTTAGAAAGAGCATTTCTTCCACGAGACCAGGAGGAAGCTAGCCAGAAATCTAATACAGAATCAGAGTATGCTCACTTTTTGTAACCTTCCGCAAATGCTTAAGAACTATCTCCCTGGCCTTTAAAGAAGTTGTACAAAAACAAGACATGGAATCTCTGCCACTCTTCTTCTCTCAACAGAAACTATTTACTCATATAAGGGTCAGGAAGTATCTGTCTCTTACTGTGTATTCTGTGCTTAAAGAACAAGACAGTGCTCTGATGTAGAGAACTACTATGGAGTGCAGAAAGGTCTGTATCCTTGCAAATCATAATAGGGTTTCTGCAGAATGCTCAAAAGCACTTCTTCACAAGCATCACCTCCCTGCCAAATTTAGATTTTCTGTCCCCAACTGTATGAAGGCAAAAAGTCTTCAGAAAAGGGAGGAAAAAAATAAGTCCTCTCGAGATTTAAACTTTTGTTTTTAAGTAACAAAGAGTGTTTTCCTTTCTCTGAACTCCAAAAAGTACTGAGCAAGTTTTGTGTAAACTATAGACCAAAACTTATTTTTGAAGAAGAATGAGAAGAAAAAGAAAGAGAATGTTAGGTGCTTTGTACACATTAACCATGTCACTTCATCAGCTTCTATAAAGTCCTTTTATCTTATGGCTATCAAAATTAGGATTGGCACTACCTAGGTTAACTCCAAAAAGAACAAATTTTTCAACCTGATCCCTTCAGCTGAGGTGTTTAGAAACATTTTCTCCATTGGTCCAACCTTTTTGCCAGAGAGGATCAAGGGAATGTCTTTCCTGGTAGCAAAGTCCAAGGCAAACATAACTCTGGTCTGGGTAGAAATAGCCACAGCCATCTGACAGCTACTTTGATGATGGGTAAGTGTCTTTGCAGGGAAGCAACTAACCATTAATAGACCCCTTCCAATTCATCTTCTAGTGAAGATATGCCTAGGGGGCCAATGCTAAGCACTTCTGAATTTCTTTCTCCAAATTATTTAATAAAACTCACGCTCTAAAGCAGCCCAAAAAGCTACCGTAATGCTTTTCATTATCCTTTAAAGTCACATTAGCTTTCTATTCCTGAGAAAATAATTCTGCTCAAGCCCCCTAGCATTATTCATTCCAGCTCTTTTTCAATGTATAAATTTTATAAACTTCCTAACCCCTCTAGCCTTCACGGAAGAAAACTGACTTAAGATACATTGAAGGGCCTTTATGCGTTCACTCTGCAGTGAATAACAAACAGTAACATAGGCTACATTTTTCAAAACTGACAAAAGCCAGTATTCTCACCACATTAGCTTTAGAAAACTTTATCAAACAGTGCTTTGCACCTGCTTTCTAAACAAGAAAAATGAACAGGAAATCCTGTACGCATTTTCCCATAGCATTTGGGAACTGTTCAGAAAAATCACAATTGGTAGCCACTATGAAGACTGAAACGTGAATAGAAATTACGCTATTTATACAAGGATAACATCAAGAAGAGTGTGTCTGATGCAACTGAGGGACACAAAGACCTTGCAGTTCAACATACTCGCAACGCCGGTAGACTAGGAGCCACTTTTGTCTAAGTGAGTGAAGGAGACGGGAGAGTTATCAAGACACATGAGCCGGGGCTGCAGTAGTAGTGGGACATGCAGAGTTGCTGTTTTGTACAGAAGCGTTTGCACACTTCCTTTTGGGGGTGAAGACACTTCATCTGGCCTCTGCAGCCTCCTCCCAAGTAGCTTGAGCAGCTGAAGGATTCTCAGAGCTTGGCCAAGGCAGAAGATCGTGACAGGACTCCTCATTAACTCCCACCTTTCCTTTCTGCATCTGTAGCCCTTTTATGACACCTGTAGCCATCCACAGAGCGTGGTTCGCGCAGCTCAAGGGAAGCTGGCTGCTACTACGGTCAGAGGCAGGGCCTGTGAGGGAAGGAGACTGAGCCATGCCACGGCCTCCCACTCATCCCGAAGGAGCAGCAGCCCTCACTGTACTGGCTTTTGCCATTCTTGTGCTGGATGCACTTGGAGGGAAACACCCTTTTCACATACTGAACATACTGATTAGTATGCAAGTTTTTGCCATGAGTAAACAACTGAACATGCTAAAGCTTAGACCAACCCACACCTCATAAAAAGAAAACAGCACAGAGTAAAGAGCTACAGAAATTACTAGCTCTTCATTAAAATACAGCCACAGGACTTCATATTCCATTGCTTCAAGACTTTTTCTGAAGACATTTGCTACACCTGGAGAAATCTAGTCCACAAAGGGTACAGTGACATTTGAATCTAGAGGTAACATCCTTTGAGCAGGAA